AAAAAAATAAATAAATAAATAAATAAAATAAAATAATTTTAAAAAGAAAGAAATGTGCATTCTGTTATTTGCAACTACACACACACTAGTGAGGCTTTCATGTTTTAAAATTATTTAAACACATCAGTGTCAAAGTGGATTTATTTTAACATCGAGGGGGCTGCTTCTTGTGCACAGAAACATCTCTTTATAGCTAATTGGGTTTTGAATTATTATATAATTATTATACGCTTATTATTGAAGAAACACTTATCTTAAGCTTTTAAGTCTAATTTAAAATAGTTTTGCTTACTCACAGACATAATAAGTGCTGTACTAGAGATCTATGCCAAGAGGAAGGAAAAGAAAACACTGTTTCACAGAGAAGCATTTGGTCTAGGCCTTGACGAATGAGAAAATAAGATTCCAGGTGGAAAGACTAGCACAGAAAAGCAAAGAGTATAACATGTTAGATGGGTATGTGAGGTGGGAGAGGAGAGATGGAACTGGAAAGTAAATTGAAGCCAAATTGGTTTTGGTTTTTGTTTCATTTTTTTGAGACAGAATCTCACTCCGTCACTCTGGGTAGAGTGTGGTGGCATCATCATAGCTCACAGCAACCTCAGACTCCTAGGATCAAGTGATCCTCCTGCCTCAGCCTCTCGAGTAGCTGAGACTACAGGCTCCTGCCACAACACCTAGCTAGTGTTACTTTTACTATTTTAATAGAGACAGGGTCTTGCTCTTGCTTAAGTTGGTCTCAAACTCTCCTGAGCTCAAGCAATTTATCTGTCTCAGCCTCCCAGAGTGCTAGGATTATAGGTGTGAGCTACTGCGCCCAGCCAAGGCCAAATTGTTAAAGTCCTATCCTATAGAAAAATGGAAGTCTTAGAATTTTTATATCATATGAGTATTTTAGAAAGATGCTCTGTAGCTATGAGAAAAGGATTGGAGGAGGCCACAGCAAAGGGGCGATGTGGAGACTACTGCAGCATAATTCATAAGAGAGGATAAGGGTCTGAGCAAAGTGAAGACCCCCCCCCTCGCTGCAGAGGCTGCAGTGGACCCCCAGGGCAGGGGACCAGTGGAAAATGAAACAGAGGCTCAGTGTCCATAGTCAGAGTTGAGGGGAAGTCACGTCTGTAATGGAAAGGGGTCCAATGTACCCTAGAAGCATCACGAAGGCTGTTATGGACCTTGTGCTAACTGCTGCAGGCTGCAACTTCAGAAGCCAGGAGAGCACATAGAGAACAGGCGAGCATGGGCACAGAGAAGGCAGAGGGGCCAGGCAGGGGCCCCAGCTGAAGACCCTGGCTCTTCATGCCATACTGGAGAGCCCCTCCTCTCATACACCTGGCTCACCATGTAGGGAACCAGCAGAAAGAGGGGAGGTTAACTGAGAGTTATAAAGTATTTATCCAAGGCAAACTGAACATACCTAAAGGAATCATTTCAGTTATCAGCATTACCATTCTT